TTGGGAGGGGGCTGGAGTGGGTTATAAAGGCCTGTATGGGTGTGGGGGACACATATAGGGCTGTATGGGGTCAGAGGGAGTTTTATGGGGTTTTGTGGGACTGGAGGAGGCTACGTGGGGTTGAGGGGCACATATAGGGCTGTATGGGATTGGAGGTGTTTTTTGGGGGTTTTGGAGGACTGGAGGGGGCTGTATGGGTTTGGGGGGCATGTATAGGGCTGTATGGGGTCAGAGGGAGTTTTATGGGGTTTTGGGGGACTGGAGGGGGCTATATAGGGTTGCAGAGGAGCCTGTCTGGCCTGAGCAAAGCACAGACCGTGCCCACACACACTGTGGGTCCGGGGGGTGTGCTGACCCCTCCTTGCATTTCCAGAGACCGGAGACCCTCCAGACAGATCAGACACTCCCAGACCAGGTGCCCCCACAGAATGGCCACACCCGCCCAAGCCTGCTGAGCACCAGCTCCTCCGTGTCCAGCCTCAGCTCCTCCACGGTACGGCACCGGGGGCTGGTTGGAGGTGTGTGTGGGGGGGGTCACCTCCCCAGCCCCCCCTGACCCCACTGACCCCATCCCCCTGCCCTGCAGCTGAGTGGGAGCCTGATGAGCCTGTACAGCGAGGGGGAGCTGGGCAGTGTGGCCGTGAGGGGCTGTGTCCAGTTCTCCCTCCACTACGACCCGGCCAGGAAGGAGCTGCAGGTCCACGTGGTGCAGTGCCGGGAACTGGCCGAGGCCAAGAGGCAGCGCTCGGACCCGTGAGTGCCACAGCCCCCAGGGGCACTGCCCAGCTGGTGCCCACGCTGGCACCCACTGCACCCACCCCATTTTTTGATTCCCAGGTACATCAAGACGTACCTGCTGCCGGACAAGTCCAACCGCAGCAAGCGCAAGACCGCGGTGAGGAAGAGGAGCTTGGATCCCATCTTCAATGAGACCCTCAAGGTTTCTACCCCTGCCCTGGGATGGTTTGTGTTGGGGGGGCCCCCTGGTTCAGCGTGGTTGGGTGGGGGTGGATGATCTCACCCTGTGTCCCCTCCCCACCAGTACAAGCTGGAGAAGAGGGACCTGCAGGGCCGGACCCTGAACCTCTCGGTGTGGCACCACGACAGCCTGGGCAGGAACCTCTTCCTGGGGGAGGTGGAGGTCGCACTGGGTGCCTGGGACTGGGCCAACACACGCCCTGAGTGGTTCAACCTCCAGCCACGGGTGAGCCCCCAGCCCCCCCAGCTCCACCTTTCACCCTCAGCCCCCTGTAACCCCCCCCCGATCCTCCACAGATGCCCATCCCCTCGGACGGCCTCGCCAGCCGGGGCAACCTCAGCTTGGCACTGAAGTTCATCCCCGCTGGCTCGGAAGGTGAGAGGTGCCCGTGGGCAGCTGGAGTGGGGGTCTGGCATGGCAGGGTGCCCCTGACCCCTCTGGCCCACAGGCAGGGGGAATCCACCCACGGGCGAGCTGCACATCTGGGTGAAGGACGCTCAGAGCCTCATCCCGCTGCAGAGTGGCACCGTGGACGCCTTTGTGCAGTGGTAGGAGTGGGGGTGGCACCTTGGGGGGCACCCAGGGGGGCTGGTGGCAGCGTCCCCTCACCCCCTGTGTCCCCCCAGCTACGTGCTGCCGGATGACAGCAAGGCCAGCCGGCAGAAGACGCGGGTGGTGAAGCGGAGCCTGAACCCCCTCTTTAACCACACCATGGTCTACGACGGCTTCCAGGCCAAGGACTTGGCCGAGGCCTGCGCCGAGTTCACCCTCTGGCACCAGGAAGCCTTTTCCAAGCGCCAGCTGGGCGGCATCCGGCTCAGCCTGGGCACCGGTGAGGCCGGGGGGACCCCAGCACCTCAGGGTGCCCCCTGTGCCGTGGCTCAGGGGGGGACCCCCAGCACCTCAGGGTGCCCCCTGTGCTGTGGCTCGGGGGGTGACCGTGGGGGTCTCTCCGCAGGGAGCAGTTACGGGCTGCCCGTGGGCTGGATGGACTCGACGGCAGAGGAGCAGGGGGTGTGGAAGCGCCTCCTCCAGCAGCCCCGGCAGTGGGTGGAAGCTCTGCTGCCCCTGAGGACCAACCTGGCCCCCCGGGCGTAGCCCCCCGGTCCCACAAGGACCACCTGGTGCCAGTGGGACTGTGGGACCTGGGGGGATGGAGACCTGGAGCATCACTGTGCAGGGCTGGGGGTCTGTGCCCTCCCCTTCCAGCAGCAATGAAGTGACATCAGAGGGCACATCTGGTGGCTGTTTATTGCTCTGGGCACCGTACCCCCATTTCTCCCTCCACTCTGGGGCTGGAGCTGCTGCACCTCACTGCTCCCAGCGTGGAGCTGTCCCCTCCATCACTGTCCTGCCAGCCCCTGGGGTGGCAGCCCCGGGGCTCCAGTGGCCTTGTCACAGCCCTGGGTGGGGTGGAGTGGTCACTCCCACACCAGGATGGCCCATTCCTTACTGGGACACCCCACAGTGGTTCTTCTCCCCTGGTCACTGGGAGGACTGGAGTCGTTTGGGGCCACCCACCAACACCACCCTGTGGGCAGGACACAGCCACATCCCCAGAGATTTGGGTTGCAGCCAAAATCTGGGACAGCACCCATTACTGGGGGCCTGGCAGCGACAGGTGACAGTGACACAGACACCAGGAATTACAGGAAAATCCTTTATTAGTCTCTGTCCCACCCTGTGCCGTCTCAGACTTTGCCCCAGTGTGGGTCTGGGGTCTCGGCCAGCAAAGGGCCCCCCCCCTGCCAGCCGTGGCCACGTGTCTTCTGATCCCTGGGGTGCCCCAGGTCCCCTGGGTGCTTGGCAAGAACAGGGTGGGGGAGCCCCAGGTGGGATTCAGGGCTGGATGGGCCCCCCCTGCCCACCTGCATCCCCCGGGGAGCAGCCAGAGGGTGCAACCCCCCGGAGCATCCCCAGCCACCGCTGGGGACAGGGACAGGGGTCAGGCCTGGGGGACATGTCCCACCCTGGTGTCCCCAGCTTTGCATAGTCGTGGTGTGGGGGGGCCCTGTGGCACCAGCAGCCTCTTCACCCCAGGGAGGACAAGGACAGCGTCCCCCACCCAGCCTGGGGCACGCAGTGGCCTCAGATCCTGGTGCATTGGACAGAGAAGAGCCGTGGCAGGAAGGGTCCTGGAGGGCTTTACCCTGGGGGGGTCCAGCCCTTCGCAGCCCCCCCAGGCAGTGAGGTGCAGGAGGGGTGTCCCAGTGCCCACCCTGCTGCACCCATGCCATGAGGAAGGGTTGGGCTGCACTGGGAACTCCTGCAGGGCAGGGATGGGGGGCACCCC